TACTGGAAAAATATTTCAGGTAGTATTTGTTCCAAACTACAATGTATCCGTGGCCGAGGTGCTTATTCCAGGAAGTGAGTTATCACAGCATATCAGCACTGCTGGTATGGAGGCCAGTGGCACAAGCAATATGAAATTTTCCCTCAACGGTTGCCTCATAATCGGAACATTGGATGGGGCTAACGTGGAAATCAGGGAGGAAATTGGAGATGAGAATTTCTTTCTCTTTGGTGCCACTGCTGATCAAGTCCCCGGACTGCGCAAGGAAAGAGAAGATGGATTGGTATGAAATTATGTTTTTTTCTTTTTTCCTGAGTGCAGTGAAGTAATCACATTTCCTTCTCTGACTTTGGTGTTTTCTGATCACCCAGTTCAAACCAGATCCTCGATTTGAGGAGGCGAAGAAATTTATAAGAAGTGGAGCATTCGGAAGTTATGACTACAACCCACTCCTTGACTCCCTGGAAGGGAACTCAGGTTATGGTCGTGGCGATTATTTTCTGGTCGGCTACGACTTCCCAAGCTACATGGATGCTCAGGAAAGAGTTGACAAAGCTTACAAGTAAGACTTTTAACTTCATAATATCTATTCAATTGATCTTAAACCTCTAAACTATGATATGCTAATCTCACCTACAGGGATAGGAAGAAGTGGCTTAAGAGTTCCATATTAAGCACTGCCGGAAGCGGCAAGTTCTCCAGCGATCGCACAATCAGTCAATATGCTAAGGAAATCTGGAACATCGAGGAATGCCGTGTACCATAATTTGATGATAGTCCAACAGTTAAATATTTGTTTGTATAATTGTTTATTTTAAGTATTATCAACACAAGGGATCCACACAAATCCCTCTCTAGTAGGCATAAATAAGTCAGTACCTCTGCTTCTTTATCGCATTCCTTGTTTGTTTACTACAAATATTTGTTCTGTCAGACAATTATTTATTATTGAATGAATGAAAATAATCTCTCTCTTGTATTATGAAGTCATTTTGTTGGAAACCAGCGTAGAAGTATTATAACTTTTGTTAATAAGCGATTTGCATCAACCAGAGGTACATAGGATCCATAATGAAATCTACGTATGATTTGCATATAGCATCTAAACCATTTATATAACACAAGGAGACCTTCACCACTCAGAGGCGTTTTTTTTAGGACAAAAGTGGATAATACCTTCGGGAACTTACTTACTATGTATCTAGATTTGGCATACACAATTGACTCTAGAGGAGAGCTTAGGCCACTCCCAAGCCCCTCGTCCCTTGGGCCTGTGTTGGTGTCAAAGTTTCACATTAGTTAAGAGATTAGAGTCTTAATTGTTTATATAATACAAAGACATTCTCACCATCTAGAGACACATTTTTAGGACAAAATAGAACAGACAATACCTTTGGGAATCTACTTACCAATTCATTGTTTTAAAACCCGGACCGGAGAGCAACCCGTTTTGCTGTTGGGTCACGGGTCAACCGGTTGGATCGATGACATCAGCAACAATTGTATTTTTAAAAAATTACATATTAATCCCTCAAATTTTAATATATTCAAAAAACCCCTAAGAAGTTCATTAGTCCCTAACATTTTTATTTATTTCAAAAATACCCCTAAAAAATTACCAAATTAATCCATAACCTTTTGACATATCGCCAAAACAACCCTATAAAATTACAAATTAACCATTATAATTTTGAAATATTACAAAAACCTACCTAAGACCTGAACCGGACCGGGAAGCTGTTGGGTTCCGGTTGGACCGGCCGGTCCGATTTTTAAAATAGAGCCTACATATGTAGAAGGCAGAAATTCTGCTTCTTTTATCTTTTCCCTTGTTCGTGTATTGGAAATCTTTGTTTATTAGATTGAGTTTAAGACCTTTTGAGTCCGTTTGTTTTAGTATTTTGGATAAGATTTTTGATATTTTTAGAGTTTGGTGGGAATAACGAGGTAGGATTTGAAAATTAATAAAAACACATATCTATATTTGCTAATTTACTAAACACCCTAATATATAAAATGATAAAAACACCCCTACCCACATCGGCCATCACCGTCGGAATCTGGCGTTACAACGCATGACTGACCGTTCGTGTGCCGACGTGGCTTTTTCTGGCCAGATCCGTGAAAGGCCAGATCTACAACCATTTTTTGCCGTCAACGATAGCCAAAGATATGACCGTCATTGACGACCAACTTCGATCAAAAATCTGGCCATGGATCTAGTCGAAAAATGATAAATCAGCATACTACTAACCAGATCTAGTCAGTAGTGTACCATTATACCAGATTTTGACCACCTTCCGACGGTGGTAGCCAGAATCTAACAAATATGGATAGATGAAGGTGTTTTTGTTAGTTTTTAAACTTTTTTCTGAAGGTGTTTATTTAAATTAATAAATTTAAAAGAATTAAAAATAATTAAAAAATATAATAATATTTTGAAAATAATAAAATAAACAGTCTTTTTGAAGGTATGATTGAAAATAGGATAGAAAATAATGAAACAGACAGACCCTTTTATCATCCGCAGGCAAATAGTTTTCGAGTCCGTCATTAGTTACGTTGATTCTTGAACACTGAGTGTGATCTCAACTAAAAAGCAAGACGGATTTGAAAAAGGTAACCGAGTATTAACTAAACGAGAAGCGGTCAATGAACACCAAACTGCCATGCCAATCAACACCAAAACTGCCATGCCGGCTACTTTAGTTACGGTTAAATAAGAGGAATCAACACCAAACTGCCATGCCAATGTCTCCAGAATTCTACTGTAAATTTAGCAACGGAAATCACAAAAGCATCCTAGTTTTACAGGCATTTTATCCAAACACCACAATCATTCCATAACTAGCATTGAAGAAGCCCATCATTTATAACACTCATAAAGGGAGTCCCGAGTCACTACAGCACGATCATAAACTCCATAATATACACTACAGTGGTCTATAATAATCAACATCTCTAGGTAGAGAATGCCTAAAGAAACTAGAGTCGCCAACATTTAGAATGATTTTACGGTGACGGGCTAACAGATCTTGAAATGGACCTCGAACTTGCACTTGCACTAGGGCTACTCATTGAAGAGCCCCGAGAGAAACTTTCACGTGGGTCTACCCTCTTCGATGCACGAGAAATGCTCTTCCTTGGTTTTGGGGATACGGTCCTGGAGTTGCTCCTTCTCGAGATCCTTTGTCTAGGCGAGAGACTGCGTGAATAACTTCGCCTTGAGCTAGTCCTCTTCCTGGGAGAGATGC